GTTGTAAGGGGTTTTGAAATCTATAGATGTGGTTAGCATTATGCTTTGCATTCCTGAATTAACTTTATTTTTAAGGAGGCAGCTACCTTAATTTGTTTTCAGTTTCTAATAAAGTGCAGAAATGGCAACCTGCAGAAAACTGTATAGCTGTTGTTAGAGTAACCTTGAGGTAAAATACTTAACTTCTGGAAATGATGTGGCCAAATTCCATCAGAGCTGACTTACTTTTTTCCTTCTGTGGTAGATTTAACTACATGCAACTCAGTTAACTGTTTGGACCAGACCCTTAGAAACCAGGACCTGCTGGACATTAAAGATCTCAGGGCATTTACTTAAGAGCAAAGCTTTGCCTCTTAGCTCTTGGCCAGAATTCATTCTTGTTCCTGCTTACCTGGCTGTGTTGTTTGTCTGCTTGGCTGTAGTGCCTTCCACCGCTGAGGGAGAAGCATTGTGATTGTCTTGGAAAGACTTCAAGAGCCTTTGAGATGAAGTGGGGCTGTGTAAATAGTATTACAGCTCTACACAGTTTCATGACCGGCTCATATTTGCCTGCTCTCTAAGCATGTTTCTTGTGGAGATGAATCCTTGGTGTGTGCTTTTGGTAAACATATGAAGTGAAGTTGAGCTTGATGTGTGGAACTTAGCTGCCAGAATGGAGACAAAAGTAAGTTTTATGCTTTACTGCTTATTTGAGAAGCCAAACTCTGAGAATTAATGACACCCCCTGAGCACTGAAGTGAAATTTCCACAGCTCTGGAAAACCTTATTTTCTGTGTAAACTATTAGCAAGACAGAAGCAAAATATGGCTTGTTCCATCAGGAGAACTTGCCAACTGAATCTACAGAGAGTTTCTGGATACAACTTGCTATTTTCCAAAAAGTTTTACTGCCTTTAGTATTATTCAGGGCACTCGGGATGAAGCAGGCGTTAGCTGGCTTTTAGGCATCTCCTGCAGTGACAGGAACCTCAGAAAATAAAAAAGTAAAATAACCTTATGTAAACATGAGTTAATTTAAATGCATCTTCTCAGTGCACACACAATGGTTCAGTATTGTAGCTGTGCACACTTCTGTTTGTATTATTATATGCAGAAGTGTCATCTTACTATGGAAATCAATTAATCAGATACAGGAATTGAACTCAATATTTAAACGTCATCTAAGTCCCTGGAAAGCCAGTCACTTTGTATGGTTGTGTTGACTGTTCTGAGCTGAGTGATACAAAGATAGATTTGAAGAATTGGTATAAGTGCTGCTACTTGAAAGCATTTATGTCGGACCCACAAGAGCAATTATACAAATGATGGAACTCCATTCTCCCGTGGTCTTCGGGTAAGTGCGTATAAAAGCTTCCTTATTTTCTTCATTTTTGCAGGAAGTATTTAGCCCAGGTTCCTTTGCTAGACAAGGACAGAACAAGACATTCTTTTGAACAAGTCGAGCAAATAATATTGTGACCAGATCAGCAAACTTCTGTTGTTTATGCTCTAGAAAAAGACAAAGTGCTATTACTATTCAAAATGGCTTCAACTAATGTGATTTGTTTCTAGTATTTTTCTTTATTTATAAATGGTGATCATTTACAGGGGTGCACCTTTCCTGTGACACATCATTTGAAACCAAGAAAACCACAGCCTCTTTGTTAATTTAGCAGTGGTGAAAGGTTTGTATAGCTTTCATTGAAGAGACCTTTCCTGTTCATTTTTTCACAAGACTACTTGGCTTTAAATTGTGCTTCTCATTTCAGGAGCTTCTCACTTTCCCCATGCCACAAGCCAAAAGAGCGCACCTTTCCTCAAAACTTTTGAGGGCATCAAGGCAGTGCCACAACTTGACTGTGCTGCATTCATTCATTTGACCCTTGCTTTTACTAGAGTATATTTCTTTGACGTTTCAACAACCTTTTCTTTTTTTTTTTCCTTTTTTTTTATTTAATGAAGAGAAACACCATTACGTCTTTATAAGACCATGGTCAAATTCCTCTTGTGGTAGGTTCTGAACTCATTCTGTATTGAGGTGACAGAGCAACTAAAGGCTTGTTAGCAGGTGGGAATTGCTCCCTTCCTGCAAAAGGAGCAACGACATGATGAGGAGATTAGATTACATGGGATTCTAGATAAAAGAACTCTTGGTTTCAAATGTTTAGAACCCTTAACCGTGACACGGGATGTGTGGCCAAGATGCAAACATTTCACTCTTCAGAATGTAGTTAATTTACATTGTATTGTATACATTTTACTGAGTTCTAATAACGTATAGATGGACTGCCAGATTTGAATTAGTTTAATTTGTCAGCAAACACAGGATGGTTCAGCCTTTCAGTAATGAGGTGCCAGAGGCTGTAAGCTACCTCTGCGAGCAGGATAGCTGCTCTCTGTGAAGGGGCATGCAATGCTGATCCCTATTCCATCTTACTTCAGGGTAACCTCAGCCAAATGCTTTTTGTTTAGCTGCTGATCTTCTTTGTGAACCGGTAGTTCAAACGGACACTCTTTAAATCTGGAGTTCTGTGGCATCAATTTATGGAGTTCATTTGAGCACGTCTGCTACTCCAAGTTGGGGTGGCAGCATTCCATGATCATTGGACAAAAACGCCACCTACTATAACAGAGCATGCTGCTGTACTGCTGCTTGATGCTTTGTCTTCCCAAAATACCTTCCAAATTTACCAGACCATTGCTCTGGCTAGGTTCTTTTTGATAATTAATCAAAATTATTGCTTTGTTTAGCACCAGCACATGTGACTGTGGAAGCAACAGTTATGTTTAAACCTTTGCAACATGAGTGAATTTAGCTAGCTAATTGTAAAAGACAAAGTGGTTTGTATTGTAAATTAGCAGGTGGTGGGTGCTAATTTTCATGCAGCACTGTCAATAATCAGCAATAGTTTCATAGTTTTATAGATGTTAGGATCGGAAGGGACCTATTCGATCATCGAGTCCAACCCCCTGCCCTGGGCAGGAATGAGTGCTGGGGTCAGATGATGCCAGCCAGGTGTCTATCCAGTCTCCTTTTAAGTACCTCCAAGAAAGGGGGGCAGCACCATCTCCCTTGGAAGCGTTTCCATATTTTGGCAACCCTCACTGTAAAGAATTTTTTTCGTGATGTCCAGTCTGAATTTGCTCTCTTTCAGTTGGTGGCCGTTACTTCTAGTTACCCCAACGGGCGCCCTGGTAAATATTGTCTATTTCTTGCTGGGCCCCCCTGATGAGTTTGTAAGCGGCCATGAGATCACCTCTCAGCTTCTTCTTGTGGAGGCTGAAGGGGTTTGGGTCTCCCAATCGGTCCACATAGGGTTTTTTCTGTAGGCCTTTAACTAGATGAGTGATTAAAAATCATAATTTAATCAGATATACGGTAGCTAAAGTTCATGATGCATGATTAGATGTTAAAGGAAGATTTTAAAGATGTGTAGGATATTTAAGTATTCTTTCAAAACATGAATACCAACATGTGCTCATTACTGAGACTCCCAACATTTCAGCACAAAGCCTCTGCTCCTTTTGCTCCCTGGTGCTTACTAGCCATCATTGGAATGGTGTTAGTTTGCACACTCTTATTTGTAGACATTAGACTAAATCATGATTTGGGAAGATTAATTCAAGAGCTAAGAAATGTGATACATGGCTGTGGCCTGGCTTCCAGAAAGAATTAGCAGGTCTCATTGAAAAGAGCAGTTCTGAAAATATCAGCTTCAAAAATCTGCTTCCTCCATGTGGAAGTTGTTCCAAGTACACATGCGAGTCACGGAACATGGCCTAACTGTCTGTAGCAGATCATGTAGGATTGTCGAAGCCTTTTCTGTTGCCAAGTAAGATCTGAGTTGGAACTGGGGGCATTGTAGCTCACTGCTGTACTCATGGTGCTTCACAGAAGGTGCCATGAGTTGGAACGAGCCCCCACACAACAAATCTTTGCTGTTTGGGCAAGGGGGAGGAGGGTGGGATTGAGCTCCCACTTTGGAGCCTGCAGCCTCTCTCCCCTAGCCCTCCTCTCCCCGCTGTCCTCCCCTCTCAGCTCTGGGGCAGAAGGGAGGGGAGGAAGCTCTAGGCCTGGGGTTTGTCCAGCCTGAGCTGGAGGAGGGGCCTGGGGGGGCCACAAGGCAGGGGGGCTCCAGTTCACTTGCCCCTCCTCCACAGGCTGGGTATGAACCCAGCCCTGATCGCATGCAGGGACTGACGGAAGTTAACGAAGGCACTCCACATTTTTTTTAGTGACACTTGGTGCACCTTCATCTGAACCGTCATTAGATAAGGGTTAATTTGTTGTGCGATCCGGCACTTTTAAAGCACTGCAGCTGTGCAGTTGTCAGGGCACGGCTGTAAAGCACGGTCAGGGGGCTGATCACAGGACAAATGTCACTTTTATCTGCACCCAGGGAAACAGTCCTGTTCTTTTAAAGGTGGAGGGGGTGGGGTTTGAAGTACCCAGAGAAGGCTTAGCTGAAAGCAGGAAGGAAATGTGATCTCTCTTGTAAGCTGAGTCCCAGAGGAGCCTCCATAGCTCTCAGTGCAGCACACTTGTATTGCTGTCCCTCTCCTGGACCCACGGTTTCAGTTTATGCCCCTTCTCAGAACTGCTGAACTAAGCTGTGGCAGGCAGGCCCCGGGGGCTGTGTGTGTGTTTTCTTCTGGTGGATTGCACCATACCCAATAAAGAAGTCCAAACAGTAAGGTAAGTGAGCAGCCAGGGCTGCTTTTCCTGACTAGTTCCGCACTTCCATTTACAGGTGGCTCTTTCATTTAGAGTAAGAATAATCTTAATGGAATCGCGTGCTTCAGTAATAGACTCCTTCAACACACTTCCTGAGAATTTCTTCCAGGCTTTGATAAGGAGTAGAGAGAGGGAACTCTTGATACTGAGGTAGTTATATTATAACGTTCAGAGGCAGTTTTGGTAAATGATTCACTATTTTACTTTATAGAACCATCTGTTCAGCTGTCCAAAACTTGCAAGTGTGGTGTTAGCAAGGAGAGGTGGAAAGAATCGGTTTATTTTGACTGAAAATAGGGCTGTGTTTTAAAATTAAAAAACCTAGGAGGGTTTAGTTCACTTCCAGGAGCAAATTCTATTTATATTCCTTGCCTGTTTGGTGAAGGTTAAAGCAGCAAATGGATGATTTCTGTTACTCTTGCAGCCAAGCTGGTTTGCACCTGCCCTTCCTTCGGATTAAACCAGCAAGGCCGAGAGGAGGGTATTGGTGTGTAGGCAGCTCAGTGTCTCTGTATACATTGCCCAGGCTCTTGTGCCCTGAAGAGGTCATTCCAGCTTCGCTTTATTTTCAAGTGAGGGTTACATACAGCAAACTGTCTTGCTGGGCATAAATTCTTTTGTCTCGTGAGACAAGCAGATGCCGCCTACTACTACTAAAGCAGCAAACAACAGAGTTTGTGAGAAGAAATTGCTTTTGGCAAGTAACCATTTTATTTTATGTGGTTTAACTACTAAATGATGTAGACACAAATAAACTGCTGGTGATAGTTAATATTTTTAGGGGGGGGTTGTTTGTTTGTTTTTAATGTGATTAAATAATGTCGTAATTTTAAGAGTTTCTTTTTGTAATCTGAGGGCACTCTCTGATCCTCTTCTTGGAAAGGAATACACTTAGCATTGCTCAACAGTTCAAAGTTTAGCATTTTCCTGTTTTTAGCCTGGTCGTGTTCCTTGCGCTAATCCAGGCCTGTGAGGTATAGTAGTCTACTTCAAGCCTGTCCTTAACTGAGTGTGGGAAGATCTCTGTTTTATTGATTGCTCCACTGTTTTCAAGTTCTTTTAAAATCCAGCTCTGTGGGGGTGAAATTTAATCCCACACCCAACGCGTGAGCCAAGCAAGCTGTTGTAAGGGTCATAGTGTTGTGGCAGTGAGGGTCTAGGGAATATGAGAAAAGCAAAGTTTTTTGAGTAATGTATTGGGTCTGATATATAGTTGGTTCAGTACGAGATCTTGCTAGACAAGCATTGTCTAAGGAGCTAAGGAGGATAGTTGGGGAAGGAAGCACTGAGGTCCCGGAGGTGAGGGGAGACAGGTGTCCAAGGAGAGTGGTTGCTCCTCAAGGAGATGATCCTCCAAGCCCAAAGGAAGGTAATCCCAACGAGGATCAAAGGGAGCAGAAGGGTGCATAAGCCCCCATGGCTCACCAGAAGCATCCGGGAATGTCTCCTTGCTAAAAAGGTGGCCTACACCCAATGGAAAGAAGGGGTCATCACCAAG